CATGTAGGCCTATTTGTTGGTTGATTCTAATGTCAAATATCCATGATTGTCCACATTGGATATCATTTGCCTGTGGTGTGTTCTGCAGCCACAAATATCTGCCATGCCACCGCTACGCATTAGTGTTCAGTGGAGAAACCTGCTACGTGGCTTCAGAGCGTGCAGTCATTAATTTCAACACTAGGGAATATGACAGTGCTGTCTCATGCAAATGGACACCTCCGTTCCTACCCAAAAGCGTCCATAATGTGAGCTGTGCATAATAACAGGACAAAATGCAGGTATTTACCTGGTTGGTCCCCGAAAACGGTTTTTATATAGCAGAGTATCCATATTATTGAGACATGACTGTTTCCCCACCCTGCCCGAGTCCTACTAGAGCGACAAAGAGAAACACCTGACACTGATATGCCTCAAGACTGGATAATACGCCAAAAAACACAGACGAAATGAAAGAAGATCTGGGCAGGACACGTCTTAACTTTTAACTGAATAGTTTACTTTGGTAAAAAAAATATATCTACTGATAGGGAGTAACACATGCTGTGTGAACACTGTAAACCTGATTCGCATGGTGTGACTTTACTTGGGAGTTTGCTGTTGTGATGTCACTCATGCAGCGAAATATAGGCATGGGGGAAGCTGCAGTGCCTGACGTCACAGGTGTAAATTTGCAAGCGAAATTGCGCCATGTGAAGTGGGCTGATGCGTCGTCTGAACGCGCTCCCCCAGAAACGAGCGTCATTGGCTCTGCAGACCGTGGAATTCTTTGTCATGTATTAGTAATGAGGGTGGGCTCACATGAGTTGTTATTCTAGGATTTCATCAAGAAGGCATTGTGAATTTTCCTCTTTGTTTTTGTCTTGTAGCAGCCCATGACACTAGTCTTTTTCTAAGTTGGACTTGCACTCACAATGGACACAGTGAATTGCTAGGTGACCTTCTGGATAAAATACCAGGGTAACAACTCTTGTCTGAGGTGCACCCTTAGTGTCATTGTCTGACAGAATTTCACTCTCTGTGGAACTAGTGGCACTGGTTTCTGAGGAAGTGCATTTTGACCTTACAGTGTTCTGCCAGCAGGTGTCAGTTTTTATCTGTATAGATGCTTTTAGGGAGTCAGTTACTCGAGCTGCCACCAGTCGGCGGGCTTAACGGGCTGCCATAGCTGACCTTCATTTTGTCGCCGTTGCTTCGCATTGTGTGCTGCACCGGTCACCACCAGAGCTTTGTTTTCGTGTTCTTTTACGTTCCGCGTTGAAGTCGAGTGTTTTCTTTAGGTCTTTTTGATATTTCAGGCTTTCATTTATTCATTTGATACCTAAGTTTCAATATAGATGTATTTTCTTATTTATAGAATGGAATCGGACAGTGAATGGATCACGATACAAGATCATGGCCTAGGCTTCAGAGAACATGTAAGTTCATCACATTCTTTTGTTTTTGTCGCTAATAAAGGGCAGTCAACACCATTGCGACATATGAAAATATCAACTGACGCAGTGAGGCTATCTCCAGATGCCCGTCGTTGGTTTGGCACGCAAAACCCCCAAATTTTTGGCAGTGAGGCTATCGCAGTCGTGCTTCTCGGTGCATGTGCGCGCTTTTAGACATTGTTTCCGTAGATAAAAGCCGGACCGCATGTAAGCTCTTTAGCAAGCAAGACGAGAGACAACGACGAGTCAGCAACGAAAGTTTCTCACTGCCACCCGTCGCGGCGCTCGGCTTTTTGATTTCTAGAAAACCGCATGAAAGCGATTTGGGGAGCAGCGAGACAAGCGACTCGCTTCGCTTTCGCTCGATCAGTCGCGCGACGAGGCAAACCGCACGCAAGCGACCAAAACGACGAGCGACGTTTTCTAGAAATCCAAAAACCGAGCGATGCAACGGGCGACAGCGAGAAATCTTCGTCGCTGACTCTCATTGTTGTCGCCGTTGCTCGTCTCGCCGCTCGCTTGAGCACTTACATGCGGTTCGGCTTTTACTTACAGAAACAATGTCTAAAGTTCGCACATGCAGCAAGAAGCACGACTGCGATAGCCTTACAGCGTCAGTTGAAATTTTTATGTGTCGCAATGGTGTTGACTGCCCTTATTAACGATAAAAACAAAATGTGATGAACTTAATGGTCTCTGAAGCCTAGGCCATAATCTTGTATCGTCGATCCATTCGCTGTCCGATTCCATTCCATAAATAAGAAAATACAAGAGCGATGTTCAAATGTCGGTATCAAATGATTAAATGAAAGCCCGAAATATTGAAAGGACCTAAAGCAAACACACGATTTCAACGCAGAACGTAAAAGAACTCGAGAACAAAGCTCCGGTGGTGGCCGGTGCAGCACACAACGCGGAGAACTGCGAGAAACTGAAGGTCGGCTGTGGCGGCAGGGTCACGTGACGTCAAGGTGGCGGCGGCGCACCCATGAAATGTTGCCTGAAAGGGTCTATATGTATTTCTGTTTTTTTATACGAACCATTCAGTTGAAGGTTATGCAGTGTTCTGTCCAGATCTTCCTTTGTTGTGTCTGTGTTTTTTTGGCATATTATTCAGTGATGAATAGCCAACTTGCCATCTTAAGCCCCAAGACCGTGCAGCATGCATACCAAGATATCTTTTGGCAGGCTTGCAATAACTTGTGCTTTTTTCATGAGCCTCGAAAAATGGGAAGCCTGCCAAAGGTATCTTCGTGTGCATGCTGAATGTATTTAAGTCGTGTCGGGGTCGGTTGTTGTTCCTCTTGGTTGCTTTAGTGGGACTCTCATCCCATTTTACATTGAAAGTTTATAATACAATTTCACAAAAATATTGCTCACATTCATTGTATTTATTGATTCAATATAATCAAGTCAGACTGAATGTTTTTCTGATCTGATTTTCTTTTGTGTCGTTTTAATTTCTAGGGAATTTGGTTTTTTGTGGGTTTATAGCTTCAGGGCTGTCAGTGGAAGTTGAGACCACTTTATATTGCAACCTTAGAGGTAGCAAGGTGTAAAGTTGGGCGAGTTGATTGGTGGTCATATTGAATGGGTTAAAACAGCGCAAAAAAGATTGACGAGTAAAAGGAAAGACAGCGCTGTGTTTGTGATTAAACATGAGGAAGATGCAAAGAAAGGGGGGACGGACAACGAAGTTGTCCGTCTGTCCCCCCCTTTCTCTGTGTCTTCCTCGTGTTTAGTTACTGTTACCAACATGCTCGTTTTGTACGTAACTCTGTCTGTGTTTCCTTTTACTGGTCCTTCGTCTTTTTAGAGGTAGCTAGGTAACATAAATACCAAAAAGTACTTCTATGCATTTAAAGAAAAGCAGATAGAAAACATTGTCTTTACAGTGAAGTTGTACTTATGGCTTGGTTTTACTATCAAGAGAATCAAGAATTCCCTTGCGGCAATTCAAAGTCTGCTTTCAAACGATCTGAGCAACCTTCCACAGTACTGTATGTTATATGTGGTGTTCACATTGAGGTGCTCTAACTGGCTTTTATTTTGCATTTACTGACAGTAGTATTCTACAAATGGAAAGAAATCATGTTTGTCACTGTCAAGTTCTGTAGTTCCTGCGTTATGTATTCTCCTGCAGTATGAAAGACCCAGTGGGAGCGCCTGGCCGAGGCAGTGACTGGTGTGCTCTGGGAGATCCCAACCTACCCAAGGGGGAACTCACTTAGTGTTCAGCTAAAGTGCAATGCACACTTATCAGTTTTTGGGTTCACGGTGGAGAGCAGTTCATTCACATTATGTCACAGCCACTAATTCTGAAATGGCTGTCCGAGAGAAACTGGCCCGAGTCAAGGCAATTATTTTCACTTCTAAAGTGCATGGTCCATGCCATCCTTCTGATTAATAAATCCGCTCATCAAGACATTTTATTTTTCAAATATGAGACTCAGGTGCAACATTAATATTTGTGCCTGTTTTCAAATTTTACACCAGAAACAACTGATAACAAAAACAATAATGAGCATGCTTACTTCGAGCCTCCATGATCATATCTGTGGGCGCAATGCCGATAAAGCACGCTCTTAGTCTAAACCTAAATCAAAAACTGTCCGCAAGTTCAGGACCAGTTCAGCCCCGAGTGAGCGTCCTTTCCTCGAGGCAGAACAGAATCTCGTGGAGCGCACATAGCGCCCCCGACCACGGTCATCTCGGCCACGCGCTTTTAGTACGTCTTTTATATTGAAGGAGACTGAAGATACCACCAAGACCTTTTGGGTGGCCTTTCTGCTGTTATAATTTAATTAGGAGCATGATTTATAGTTCATGTGAAACATATTTACTAAACATGCATCACTGGTTATCTTGTTCCTTCTCCAGGTGCTGCTATCCAGCTCTACGTCACAGCCATGAAGTGGCCATGGGTGAACTGTGTACAACTGCTGTCATTAGTACTCGAATCGGCAGAGCCACCTACTAGCTCTGAAGCGCAGTTGCCAGGCACCAGATACTCGACCAGCAACCAACCTTTGTCGCTCTAGTGGGACACGAGAGCGACAAACAGAAACAAACGACAGCTACAAGCCTCCAACCCATTTAGCATGCCCGTGGTGGTACTTTTGGCAGGCGGCGTTTATTCGTTCGGTGCTCGTGAAATAAGCATGAGTGATTCTAAGTCTGCCAAAGATACCCTCGCGTGCATGATGCTTGTGTTTAAGCATAGCCTCCTTTATTCTACAAAGCCTGTCAAATCGGGAAAGACTCGGGTTTGAGACTTGTCGTCATTTGTTTCTGTTTGTCGCTGTAGTGGAACTCGGGCATAAGCTAGCACCATGTACTGAACATGAAATAAAAAACCACTGTACCAAACTTGACTTGATTTTGCAGCTTCATTTGCATGCCAACTGCACAATAAATACAGCAGCTCGCGCATGTTTTCAACTTTCATTTTATTGTTTAAGTATTCTGAGAAAATTACTTTAGCAGCTCCATTAATCGTGGGTCACTAAATCCGGAACAAGGTAGCAACCAGTTTTTTTCTGCACACAGCACCAAAAACTGGAGATGTTTGACTATATCATATACCACAAAAAACATCCTTTGAATGACAACATAGACTTCCTTGGGAGAAGTCTGTAAATTCCCCGTATAGCCAAGATTGAATGACCAGAGAACTCCCACCCTGGCCCACACTGCATTTACACCGTTTTGCCAAGCTTGACTGACCACTGAACTGCCAGTGTGGCCCAGGATGCATTTAGACCGTTTTGCCAGGCTTGGCTGACCACTGAACTGCCAGCCTGGCCCACGCTTGTTTTACACCGTTTAGCCAAGCTTGGCTGTACAAGGAACCCCCACTGAACTGCCGGGCCGGCTAGCCAGGCTGGGGCTAGCTTGCCCCTTGGAGCAAAACGGTGCTTGGGCCAGGGAAACTTTCCCCGGCTGCCCAAGCAGGCTCAAGCTTGAGCCGGTGAATTGTGCTGCTTGGGTACCTCGAAAACAATTGTTTTGAATAGAGCCCTGAACACATTTCAGGTGTTAGGCGAAGGAAATAGAACGAAGTGCCTCTTTATACGGTAATATCAGACTCCTTCAATAAAATACTGCTCACAAATTTTCCGCCAACACAGGGGGCCACAAACTACCACCCGCAGCGCCACAGTCTCGAAGGTGGCGTTTTTGTTTGGCCACCCCAGGTTCACTGAGCCACTCTAAATTCGCGATTACACTAGGTTTTCAGAAAACAGTTTATTCTGTACCGACATTTTTATACGCTAGAATTTCATTACGGTATGCAAGCACCGGTCACATATTATTCATCTCTAACAACAAAAACTAGGGATCAGATTTTTTTTTGCTTTGTTTTCACAACAAACGGCGTTTTTGCGAGCATAAAAGAGAGAGGAAAGGATTCGCAGTGCCTGAGCTTGATGGTATTGCTGCTGGTGCTAAAACATGACAGCGACAACGGTATAAAGAATTTATTGTTCGCAAAGATGTAAAAAAAAAAATACATTGGAGAGTTGTAGAAATGGAAGTTGAATTCTCTGTCTGAGTGGACACAGCGAAAGACGCTTGCAATAACGATAAACGCTGTCAGTGCGATGACGCGTCACCGCGGTCTATTTGCGTCTTGTTCGGAGTGGGTTTGAGATACCTGTACCACTTATCGATTGCCCGACTCCAAGTGGTGTAGGCTGAATTGGCGGTCTTTGCCAGCCTGTCGATGCTAGCAACGAGAGTGGTAGTGTATTAAGCTCTCACAGCGTTACGGAGATCATTCCTAACCAGTAGTGTAATGAAGGGCTCTGGCAGTAGGGAATAATTCGTCCCAGGCGTATAATGCAGTGTATTATTTTGCCCCAATCGAGCTACATCAGATTCGCGTGGTTCTGTTCCGGTGTTTCCAACAATTTCTTTTTTTTTTTCATGTTGGCGGGTGTTGATTTGGTGTATTTCCTGAATACGTTAGGATCATTTTGGTTTTATACTTCGCATAGAAAAAGCTTTGTTAATTTACCTGTTTCGTTCATCGAAAAACAAATCGAACAGCTCTCCTAGTGGTGATCGTATTTCAACAATCTTACAAATTACTAATTTGGCTCCTTTAGCTTGTTCTTATTTCTATTTAATCTTATCTCTTTGATGCTCAATGCCACAGTAACGGTTTTTACTTATAGTTTATTTAAATAAAACTCTAAGTTTGTGACGTCTCCCATATGCTTTGAACATCAGAATAGGATATATATCTGTCCGTTGGGACTATTGCATAATTTCATATCTACGCCAAGTTTAAATGACAGCGTAATAATAGGAAGGACGATTCTACTGTTTCTAGGCTTCAGCGGTTCCTTATAAGTTTTATTGAAAACAAAATACTAATTGAGACATGGTAAACTACAGTGTTCTGCAGCGACTGGATAGGGACAAATAAATTATAAAAAAAACATTTTTTTAATACTATATAGTGCAACTTTCACGCTAATCTTTTGTTTTGAATCTTGTATTGTGCCGAAACTGAGAAATTAACTATTTCTTATTATATCTGAAATACTTAAAAGTTAGCAATATTATGTACAAACTGATTCCTGTGGTTACAACCTCATTTAAAAAATAGCAATTTGAATTTTTTATGACTGTTGATCCGAGGAAAGTTCTATGGACACATTCCACTGTGTACTCCTGGAAAATATAGAGGCTTATTATAATTTGTCACACATATTCAAAACAATGAAAGTTTGAGATTTCCCATACAATTATGCTGTAATTCCAAAAAAACTATATCCAAGTTTTGTTTCGTGCTCTTTGTTTTTACTCTCGTAGCACCACCACACTGAAGAGAAAAGGTTGGCTAGTTTTAATTCAAAATGTCACACTAATAAAAAAATAAATATTTCGAAGAGCTGAGGCCATTCGTGTCTAGACAGAACGCTATTTGAACGCAGGTCCTGCGAGAAGCATCAGGATCACCAGACTGAGTGTGCCCACTTTCGTAAAGAACGGGACGGAGTCGGTCGTGTTGGACTGCGAGTACGAGCTCGACAGCGACCCCACCGATCGCCAGGGCCTCGTGGTCAAGTGGTTCCTGGACGACGACCCGGTTCCCCTGTACCAGTGGATTCCGGAGATCTCGGTGGGGCGTCACGTGGGGCCCAAACTTCGCAACAGACTTGACCTGTTCTTCAGCGTGCCTAATGGGACTGACCTAAACAAGTTCAGAGCACTTAAGATCATGCGACCTACGACGGAGTTGAGCGGAATATACACGTGCCAGGTGTCTTCTTTGGTAGGCCAGGAATCCCGCTCTGGCAACATGACCGTGTATGGTGAGTGCGTATTGCGTTAGACAATGCTTCCCTAGAATTTGCTATTAATCTTTTTTTTTTTTTATTTGGTTAGAAGTGTATTTTTAAGCACCCCCGACAATCTTGAACTATACTAGAGCAGGAACTTTTGCTTGTAAATTCCAATAATGTGAAATTTTTTTATACCATATAAGTTACCTAAAGATTTGAAATTTATTATTATCATTTGGACCAATGCCGCACTTTCGATCTGAGTGTAGGTATATCGTTGGTTCCCCTTGGCTTTCTGTGCGTCATAAACAATAAGTTCATATGAGCCGGCGAATGTTGTTTAATGGTTGGCACACTGTCATAATCACTGGTACTTTTTGTATCCTCAATAATGTTTATTAATTGGTACACAGCAAGTCTCAAGTATTTCGTAAAATTGTACCCATAAGACCTATGTCAGCTACTTCAAGAAGGCAGTACCTAGCCCACGTTTAGCAAAAATATCGATTATATATTTCAAAAGTTTAATTCTCTTACAGGAGGCTTTCCTCAGTACGGTAATGTACTTCAAATGCAAGACGGTTTAAGGTGTATCACGAGATATTTGCAGATAGAAAAAGAGAGTTCTTTTTATACTTTCGAGTAATTCTTCTATAGAATCGGACGCCCGCAAGCCCGACAAATACTATTCTTGCCTGAAATTAGTTTTTAGGGGCGAAGCTGCTTGGGGGGCTAGCCATGTCCGTACGTCCGTCCGATGTCCGGCGTCGGGTACTCGTGCTCTCGAGCACGTGAGGACGTGCTCCCGTGCTCGTGTAAAGCAAAAAGCAAAAAACAAAAAGCAAAAAAAAAAAACCGCATCTCCACGTGGTGAATTATGTTGATTGGGACGAAGCTCTAGTGGTGCTCGTCTGCGTAGACGGTGAGCCGCAGTATGCCGAGTGTTTCGTTCGTTTCCATCCATGTGAGAAAGAGAATGTGTGGTATGGAACGTGGTTATATACGCATTTGAGCATTTGGCCGCAGCGTGATATGGATGAAAACGAACGAAAGGCTAGGCATGCTGCGGCTCAGCGTCTACGCAGACAAGCACCACCAGAGCTTCGCCCCTATCAACATCAGTAACTACGTGGGGATGCGTTTTTTTTAATATGATATACCTATCAGCTACATGCCATTTGCAAAATATTTTTCTCTACCAACAGATTTTTTTTTAAAGTTTAGTTTGTTTTTGAGATATCGTGTATGCTTTCTTGCGATCAACTAAAAGCCGAGACACTCGCTCAAATACTTTAAAAGGGCAATGCTATAAGCCCCCCGACAAGCAGTACAACATGCTCCAGGCTGAGGCCGGAGAAAAAAATTGGGAGCTAATGATCGGCGCTAAGATGACAACAAAATATCAAAACGATTTATCACGCAAGGCAAAAGCTCCTCGGTGGCTGCATGGCTTCATCGGATATAGACCATGCACTTTGATTTTTCCTCACTTGGACCACAGCCAGATGTATGAGTACAAAATCTGTAATTTAGAATGCGCCTCCCGAAATTACTTGAGTGCTTCCGTGGCTAAAGCACAAACACTCGCAAAGTACCAACACTACCAACTCACGCGTGTAGCTTTTTTTTTTTAATTTCTCTGAAGGATACGGTACTCATGATTGTGTTCTTCTTGGGAGTATGCAGTTGTGTCAGTAAAAACGTCGATAGCTTCATTTACTTCAAGTTGGTGCACACAGTTGTTCAAATGATAAATGCACAAAAATAATATAGAATAATATTAACCCAAAAAACAAGAGCAAGACTGATCTAGCTCCCCAAACAATTTACTTTCTATACTAATTAACACCACCACCACTAATCCAATGACTACTGCCACTGCTACTAGCATGACTCTAAACTACTCACTATTGACTGCTACTATGATGTTACTACTATCACAACCAAACCCTACTAGTGTATACTACTAACTACCACTAACCACTAACGGCAATCAAGCTACTACTACTACTTTACTCCCAACCGCTGACGACAACAGCTACAAAATTCTGGCATTACTGACTGCTACTAAAATTCTTGTTATCTTTAAAGGGGTACTCAAGTAGATTTTCAGATCATCTATTTATGGAGATAACTCAATCTACAGGCTCAAAGAATTTAAAAAAAAATATGTTTATGGGCAGCGAATTTTTCTACCAAAACAATATTCAAAGATCCGGACGCGGAACTCATTTCTACGTCTTTGGGCAGAAACCAAAAGGCGCTGTCGGACGTCGCTTTTCAACAATAATTGTTGTATTATGTATTCTACACCTAAAGATTTCACGTTACTTAAAAAAAAATATATTACAACGCTTTTAAAACAGTTATAACAGTAACATTCAGAATCCCGACACAACTAGCTATTTTCATAGGTCAAATTTTATCTCGGTGGCCGGGAACCGAGGATCCCCCCTCCCCCCCCCCCCCCCCCCCCCACCAAAAAAAAAATTGTTATCCGCGTTATGTTGTTGCGCTTTGTTTACTAAGACATCTTGCCATCTAGAACTGCAAGGGCGTTTTTTTTTTATCAACTCAAGGTCTATCGCACCATTATGTTAACCAAAACAATGTGCGAAAAATCACTCAAGTGCCCCTTTAGGTCCGAACGCATCTGACGCCACGATCGGTTAAAATAAATCACGCCGCAAAAAAAAAAAAAAAAAAAAAAGAACTTCGTCACGACGTTTTTTGTCATTGGGGTCTATCACTGACTCCATCAAACAGGCATAAAATGAGCGCGAGATAGCAGCCCATTTACTCTGCGTGACTTGTTTAGTCGGTAGATAGCTCACAACGACGATGAGAGCTGTTTAGATGTACTCTCAGCGTTGCTTGACTAGTTTCATTAGTTCGTAGCATAGGCTGCGGTGGACTTAGAGAGAAGCGAAGTATAGAAGCTAAAATCACATCATTAACCTCCTCCTACTTCTTTCCCTAAGCCTCCTCCTTATTTATGTTTTGTAATGACTCTTCGTTTATTAGAAGAGGGACTTCACCCTCGAATCTACGTTGCCTAATGCCTCTAACGTATAGGCACTGTTCTAAAGGAAGAAGTCGATGAGGAGGAAGCTAGTTGTCCTTGAACCGCCTTTCCGCAAAACTATCACCATATTAAATCATTCATCCCTAGTCTCAGAGGTTTATCGGTGACATCTGGTTTGCGCGGAGGGAGACGTTCGTGGGCGCCGGTTCCGCTGGTGCCTAAGCGGGTGGTATTGCCGCTAAAGGAACACTAACATCTTGTTCTGGATTGTTCTTAGGTAGGTTTCTCGATCCCCAGGGTTCTGAAAGATGATCACAAAATGTCTGTAGCGGTACCTTAATAACTCGCAGTCCCCAGGATACGGTGGCAGATATGAGACTAGTTAAACAGGTGTCTATAAAATTATGTCGGCTACATCGGAAAGGCGGTTCAAAGGACGTTTTATAAATGCTTTGCCGTCAACATCTTCGGACGTCCTACTCTGCGACAAGTATTTTGACGGTTGCAAACGACTTGGGTGCCACGATTGAAAGGAGCTCATAGGAGGGACGCTTAAATATACGACTAACCTAAAAGCCCGCGTTTGGTAGCATTGGAGCAACTGGGTCCTGGCCTACTCATTCCAATGTTCGGGTTCACCAAACGCATGCGGAGGTCAAGTTCGTCTGCTCCTTGCGCAGGGGGTAGCGGTGACGTCAGAACGCCGAACTCTGATTGGCTGATCGAGCCCCCCTACCTGAGCGTCGTCTGCTCCTTTGCAACGTCGTCTGCTCGCAACGTCGTCTGCCCGCAACGTCGTCTGCGTCTGTCTTACGTTTCCTGCGACTTTCGGAAGTGCAGAGGCCAGATTCACGAAACGATCTTACGCCAAAAATGTGCGTAAGACAAAACTTAAGAACAAATTCGTATTCACGAAACGAAATTTTCGTAAGTTTTGCGCAGGTTACGGCGAAATCCTACGACAGCTCCGAAGCTGTCTTACGCACTTCTTACGATCAAGTCAGCATGGCCGACAGCGTCGCGGTCGCGACGACCCACGGACGTTTATTTTTCTACGTGAGCTTCTCACGCGTCCTGACTTCAAGCAGCAAAAAAAAAGTAAAAATTACTTGAAACAGAGCACGACGAACAAGAACGCTGGATCCACAGACACCGGGGAAAAGCTCCAACGGCAACGATTCCACCGAACGCGACCAAACGAGCTGGGCAGTTAGGCCTAGCAGGCACTCCGCGACTCGGCGACCGTCTGCCCACGACCGGCTGACGTGCTGAATGGAATATGCCCGCGCGACCTTTGTGAACCCTTCCCGTGTTATACTTTGATCGCTGACCTCAATTTTAGATTAAGAGGTCAATTTCTTCCTCTTGTTATCTCCTTCTTTCCCGAGGCAACGGTGACTCTCGCCGGTGAAAAAGCGGCGAATCTCCGACAGACGCAGGAAAGGTAAAGCAGCCATCGCTAGACGTAAAGCAGACGACGTTAACTGCGCCAACCCGCCGGCGCCGTTAAAGAGTGAGGGGTCTCGCCGCACACGAATGAAGGTAAAAAGTATTTGGGAGGGAACTTGCGGACACTAAGCAAACAAACCTCGGCGCCCCGGGACACCTCGCCAGTGAGTCCTTTGACTTCCCTCCTTGATGCGCGTCTGCTAGTTGTTAGACGAAAACAACGTACCGCTCGAGTTATTTCGTCTGCCCTCGCTTAAAGGCGAAGTCGAGTTCGCTCCGAAAGTCGCAGGAAAGGTAAGACAGACGCAGACGATGTTGCGAGCAGACGACGTTGCAAAGGAGCAGACGACGCTCAATAGGGGGTCGCGATCAGCCAATCAGGCCTCGGCGTTCTGGCGTCACCGCTACTTCCTTTCTCATGCGCAGAAGACGAAAATGAGCCCACTTGCGAGGCGTATTGGAGTACGGCACCTGGAATTCATCCCAGAAGATAATAGTGTCCTTGTTATTACCTAGGCAACGGATAGCGGTGGTTTTCATGAAAAAAAACGCAAAGAAAGGTTACTTAATTTTAACCCTGTAATGCCCCAAGTATCAGGTGTGATACGCTACGTAAGGCAGCCTTTTAGAGCTCAACACGCCAGCATATATCACGCTACATCCCCGAAAATATTTTTTCGATTTCGAAAGTTCGCCTAACCGCCGCTTGGGGGATCGACGCATTTTGAAAATGGAGCCTGGTCAACCAAGCACGTCGAGTATTCTGGCTCGCACTTTTTGCAGACCTCAAACAGAACGTCTGGGTACGTTTTTGTACCTGCTATGCTACAGAATGCGCCTGGTAAATATTGTACTTTGCCTAGCATAGTGTTTTAACTTCAGCCAATGTGTTTTGCCGTCGTTCACGAGTGGTAGCAAATCTCCGTATCACGTACGATACTCTGGGCATTTAGTGTAACTAAAATGCTTTGTAGCACGTGTGATACAGTAATGTACAAAAACAGGCGTTCCTATAGTTATTATAGTCTAACTAAATTTTTCATTGTATTATCAGCCAAGACAACAGCCAGGAACATCTTGAAATGCCTCGTTAATGGCGAGGTCATTGATGTCGATGATAGCAGCGGTGATAAATTTATCGACGAGGTCTTGAGCATTCGTCATGCTCAGGAACTGGCGAACTCGAACGACCAGGACGCTGAAGTATCTGATCAAGATGAAGAACCTGAAGGTGACGGGGACTCTCTTGCTGCCCAGATGTCGACTCGAGACGACGGGAGTGTGAGGAAATTCCTGTACAACAACCGAGACCTTCCTTTCACTGAAGAGTTTACTGTGCCTGAAGACATGAACAGTCCCTTAGTGTACTTTAGTCAGTTCATTACGAGAGAGATGATGAAAATTGTTGCCGAACAAACGAACACGTACAGCCACCAGAAATGAGAGCTTCGATCACCGTCAGTAGGGAAAAACAGGAGCAAGTAATAGGCATGTAAGTCCACATTGGGCTGATGGATGCACCGTCAGTAAGATACTACTGGGAGTCAGAGTCAAGGTGCTGCAAAATTGCTGATGGCACGAGCCGCAACCGCTTTGAAGCCATCGTCAGAAATCTTCACTCCACCAAACATTTGGAAGCGACAGAAGAACTGAGGAAAGACAAAGCCTGGGAAATACGGCCATGGATTCAAGCAGTGAAAGAAGTTTCAGTACCATTGAACCTGGAGAATTTAATTCTGTCGATGAGATAATGATCAGTTTCACAGGGCGCACATCTGTAAAGCTATACATGCCAAAGGAGCCTGTGCCTTGGGGCACCAAGCTTTGGGGAAGGGCCAGAGCTTGTGGAATACTGTACTGTTTCAATGTGTACAAAGGAAAAAAGTGGCATAAAGAACACGTATCAACTTGGTGGGGACACCGTGGTGGACATGTGTGCATCCCTTCCAACTAGAAAAAAAAATGTCAAGACAGGCAAATAATATTTTTGCATCCATACCTCTTGCAGCTGCCTTGAGGACAAGAGGCATTGGGTTTGTGGGAACCCTTCGTCAAAACCGATTACGAGGCTGCCGATTGGCTTTTGAGAAAGAGGTGAAAACCACTGGCAGAGGTGCTCATGACGTTAGAGTGAACTCAGATGAAACTCCCTGCTTGGTGCGATGGTTCGATAACCGTACTATCACCCTTCCGTCAAACTGTGTTGGAGATGCGCCCATCAGATCTGTCAGACGGTATGACAAGACTTCAAAAACTCACATTCATGTGCCGTAACCGCGCATTGTAGCAACTTACAACTCGTATATGGGTTGTGTGGACTTGCATAACTACCTCGTCCAGATGTGCAAGTACAAAGTAAAATCCAGACGTTGGTACCTTTACGTTTTCTACCGTACGGTATGGCACACAACTCAAGAGGCATCACATGAAGCTGCGTAAGTTCCAAGCGGCGGTTGCTGATGCACATGTTAAATGCAACAAAGTCGCCAGAGGGCGTCTAGAGAACGGCACAACTCCCCCACAAAAGAAGACAAGACTCGTCCCTGCTCGGCAGGAATACGTTAGAAGAGACATTGTCGGCCAATTCCCTGGGTGGAAAGCAGCAAGGCAGTGCTGCAGGCACTGCAGTACATCAATCAACCATTTTTCATTCACCCGATGCACAAAGTGCTTGGTACACCTCTGCAACACGAAGGAAGGCAATCGTTTCAGCGCATACCACTGTTAGTGTAACTTCATGTTTTCAGCGTACTTAATGCGTACTGTATCATATATGATACATCACCAATTTGTATGATAATAAATACATTTCACAAAAAGAAACAAACATTGGAATGCATTATTTTACTCTCAGTCTATTAGGATTTTAAATCGCAGAATTTTATGCTTTCGAGAAATGTTGTTGGGCATTACAGTATTAAAGAGCCGTCTCTGTTGCGGTTGTTAACTGGTTCATAATTCTTACAGCAAGACTCTAGGTCCTCATTTCCACTTCCGGACAAGGCACGCGGGTCCCGCTAACAGTGTTTCAGAGTCACAGAGTGGGCGATACGTTGGACGATGTGTTGGTATCTCGTGTCGCTTATTTCGCCTGGCATTGTGCCTCTTCTCGGGTTAGGCCACTGCTAGGTTCCAGGATATCCGCAGGAGGCAGGAAAATGTTTTGCGCCTTCACCAACCAGTTAGTGTTTTGTTTCTTTCAGGGTTAGGGAAAAGGGGAAGCCAGTAGAGGTGTAGGCGAAGAGTGAAGGGCAAGTCGCTACTTGGCGATCTGATGGAGTGATAGTTAGCCAACTGATGGAGGTCCCAGGAATAATAGCATTTTCCTCATTTACACACTCCTTCGCAACAACTTTTCAAAATAAATACACAAATAAATAACACTGTTTGCCAGGAACAATGGATGACTGCTTCTTAAAAACAATAACTTGACAACCGTAAGCTGAAAATTATATACTGAGATTTCAGAGCCCCTGAGGAGCTGAACTCTTTCTAACTTGCAACCAGACGCGTCACTTAAGCAAAGCAGCCTTTTCGAAGTAGCAAATTAAAGGTACAGTTCATTATTATTTCTGAAATTACAAAGGGGAAGTGAATTATCCTGCTCATCGCATTTTCGGGAAGTAGGCTTCAGTTTTGTTTTTCAATATGTGACGTCCTTAAAATGCAGTCAAATATAAACTTTAAGGCCAGTTGAGAACATTTGCTCGATACCCTCACCAATTTACTAAGTACGTCCCTCACCAAAATTTTAATCAATAGTAAATAATTAAGCTATACATAATACTCGCGATAAATGTCAAACACTCGTAGAGGTATATCCGCTAGACAGGAGACGAGAAAAACGTGCATCATAGGAAGGATTCTTGGCTAATAATATGGCATCGCAATATGACTTGAACAACTCGACTAAAACTACTGATGTAGCTATGAACGGCGTGATATCATAAGTAAATGTTTAGTGTTCTATTGGGGACGATCGTTTACAGTCAGAACGTTTTTCTGGATTTTTGAATAAAAAAGACGCCTCTATCTACCTTAGTTTTTGCGCGTAACTTCGATATGTAACATATTTGAGACGCGGTAGCTCATTTACAAACAAGCCTCATTAGATATGACCCTTGAGCGTCATAAACCACCAACGTATTGAACTAATTGTAAATTTAAGTTGATTACTGTAGAATCTTGCTTGGGTATGCCAAAATCTCGCGTTGGTTATTTAACTTTTGGCGGTTGTTTGTTCAGTTTCTAATATTAGACCATTGTGCAGTAGCAACTGCTTTAATGATGGGCCAGAGGTATGAACACAATCGGTAGATGCGGGGGGGAGGGGGGGGGGCATTTTTATCCCCCCAGCTTTCAGGCCACTGTTAGGGACAGTGAGTATATACGTAAACATACTCTTGGTGGACTCCTTTCCACTAAGTGTTTTTCCACGAAATGGCTAACGCACGAATCATAAAACACCTAAAAATAAATAACTCTGGAGGCATGTTTCCTTGTAGTCAAAACGAAGAAGATGTTAAAGATCATGAGCCATTCCACTCTTTGAAGGTGGATGACCAGCGAGGTTGTTTAGAACATGACACAAACCCGCACCAAGGAGCCGGAAAAAACTATCGTCGGTGACAGGTCAAGAAGGAAGTGGAAGCTCTTTCTACACCTGTCCACTCTAGTGGAACGAACGGTGGAGAGGGGGTGACCTCCTTTGCACCGTTCGCTCGGCAGAAGTGGAAAGGGGTGGGAGGAGCTTCCACTTCGTTCTTGACCTGTCACCGACAATAGACACCCCCAAACGTTCCGCCACTCGGCGGAAAGTAGACAGGTGCAACGAGACTGCCATCCTGGGAGAGCCGAAGGACAGGAAAATAGGCACAAAAGCGCTTGGAACGACAATAAAGAGAGGGCGATGGCAGCGTAGACACGGGCGACGCGGGTCGCACAGCGGGATATATTTGAGGAAACTTCATTATCTACCTGAGAGTCTGGTGCTCTAGAAGATGGTTCCTATTGATAAATCATCTATTGAAAAAAAACTATTCTAAATTACCCAATGGAGCATGCCGGGAGTGGTGTTACATACGCCACACGTACCGGCGTCTGGAGCAGTAACTGTTCGAAAACAAAAGCCTAAAACAATTGCATCCCGCACGCGCGTTCGTCAACGTTTTGTTTTGGTTATTTCCTTTGGATGTTTCATACGGGGAAGGCCTGCGCGTGCGGTGGTGCGAGCGTATAGGGTTAGTCACTGCACACCAAAAGGTCACGGAACCCTAGTCATAAACAGCGTTGCTTTCAAAGAAAGGGAGTTCGTAACTTTTAGCCTAGTATATAGTAAAGCTCACGATTAAGCCCTCACTGATGTGGAAACTGTTTTAAGTTTTCTTCCGAACATGTGTTTCAGCTCCTCCTCAGAACGTAACGTTCAGCATCATAAGTCCCGAAGTAAACGAGACAGTCGGTGGCGTCGAGTGCACGGCACAGCATGCTGTCCCGGCTCCGGAGGTGACCTTCCGGATTCTCTGGAGCATCGGACTCGACAACCACACCACCCAGCTATCCCCCGTAGAGACGTACGTCAGCCCGTCTTCGGACGACGCCTTCTACGACGTCCGAGCAACTGCCCGTTTCGACATCCCGCGTCTACCTCCTCGCCAAGGATCGACGGAGTTCCAGTGCATCATCAGCGTTCCGGGGGCTTACAACCGGACGAGGACAATTAGCCGGAGGATCACGCGAAAGCAAGCCGACCCTGGTGAGGATTCGACTCCTGCCGCGTCGGAGGTTCGGGGAGTGTAGAGAACTCTCGACGTGGTGAGTACGAGAACCGGTCATGACGACTCGCTGCTTCGCTTTGAGCTTGCATGCGATTGCAACAATTCTGGGCAGTTAAACAGCAAAAAATAACATCATTACATCTTTCTGCTAAATACGCTTTGAATCATGGATGAAACCGTAATAGCTGCATTTATTGAAAAATACATACGGAACGAGAAAATTATGCTAAAGATGAGGAATAATCATTGTTATAATTTTTTTATTTGTTTATTTACGTATTTTGAAGAAACTGCCGGTCAAATTTTGAATGCCAACACATGGTCTAGTTAACACAACATAAAGTCAGTAAACCAAATCAACACGCCTAAACATTCAGTTTTACGATAACCAGTTCAGTTCTTTACGTCCATTCAAACGAAGAGAAGTATCAATTTCACTAAAACATGTAGCACAAGAGCAATAACCGTCACGCTGTAGGGCAGCTCGTTCCACTCTCCAAACAATACGCGGACATGTTTTTTTTAAATCTCTTTTCTTAAACGAAATTCACGAATCAGTTTTTTATACATCCTTCTTTTGTCACGGCTTACGTTAGACTCAAAATAGACATCAAGCTTTAAACGATTTTTTTTATGTATTATGCTATGTAAAAATGTTAGGCTATTTACTTTCCTTCAACATACAAATCATGCACTGGAGACGCAGCATACAAAGGTGAAAGACGATTCTTCGCTATAAAAATTAAAAGTGACACTATGCCAATTTTAACCCCCTCTAACTGACCTAAATAAGATTGTAAATTAGGGTCGCTAGGGTGTTCGCTTATTCTACCAAAGGACGGATTAGAGATTTGTACGCCTTTAGCCTAGTTTGAGGAGCACAGTCTTCGTAGCGACCACATGCTTTCTAGGCGCTTCGGCAATAACCTCGAGAATGTGAAAAGTCCAGCTTAAATTAGAGGTGATTGTAACACCTGTATCATTGTATTCATTGACAACTGCTATAATATTGGAGCTGATAATGTAGGGGAAAATGGTACTCTCTTCAGCGTTATTGTCATTTGCATGCATCTCTTAACCTTAAAGTCCATTTACCATGTTGACACCACAAAAATATTATTTGAAGGCTATCATCTAAACATTGTTGATAAAAAAAGCAATCTATTTTAGAAAACAGTGTACACCTATCTGCGAAAAATCGACATTGTATTGAGGGTTTACATACCATCAGATCATTAATAAAAAATGCAGTTGTCTGAATAAAGAACCCTGGTGCACTACAGATATATAAAAAAAAGGTAACTCAATAAATTCTTCTTTACCAGAGACACGAACCGTTCACGGTTGGTAAGGTAAGAGTCTAAGAGATCAGCAAGAAATCATTATCCAATGCCTGCTGCAGCTTGTGCATTAACTTGTGATCTAAAGCTCTGTTGAACGCCTTCGCTAAATCTAAGAAAAGAACATCAGCTTGACCATCTTTATTCATTACCGAGGCCAAATAATGGACCATTTGGATAACTTATGTTACTGTCGAGCACCCTCCTAACTGCCTTATAAACGTTCTTCTCGTGTAGCACAGCTCTTTATTGATAAATGATAGCGCAAGGCGCTCTGCCATATAAAGCAGGAAGTGAAACGTACTCTTTTACTTTGTTAATTTTTATATGCTTGCGACGCGTTACATTTTAGCCGATATAAGCTCTGTCTTTTTTTTTTCGGGGGGGGGGGGGGGGGAATTGTTTACTAACATAATCAAAGATTGGTTGGCATAAAATGGCTGAGTTCAGTGCGATTTAGATACTGGAAGGCAATGTCGTGAACAAATATTTTGACTAGAGTTTTGATTTCTTCCTCGGAATAAAACATACCGAAGCGGTTGGCCGCCTTGAATAGGAAGTCCGCAGTATGGTACCGCCCATTCATGCACCACATAATCTGAAACGAAGTACGGGATTGGTTTTTTGCAATTTGATGAGGCGAAAGGCGAGGCTACCTGCTGCACGCTCCGGCAAGGCACCTTTGAAAGTTTGGTATTTTCAAAGGCTACACACCTACTGCGTATTAAACACAAAGGAATAGCTAACCAGCATTAAACTGTAAAAATGGCAGGCCTTACTCTCCATTCGGTTGCATTATGAACACTCACCAATCAGAAAATACGCCTCATTTTGGTCTTTAATAACTAAAATCTCACTAAACATTTTAGGGCGCAGCTCTTAGGCGCCCTTTTCCGGAATGAGCGGCGTCGGCGTAACCGCTCGCGTTCATTATGGGAAGTCACAGTTTCCCCGCTAAATGTAGTGGGGAAATTGAAGTCACGTAACCTTGACACCAATTCAGTTTCCCGGCTAAATTTAGTGTGAGAATATTTGCTAAACTTTCACGCAGAATTTAGTGCAAAATTTTTCGCTAAATTTTCCTCCAAATTTAGCGGGAGCATTTTCGCTAAATTTCCTGCTAAGTTTAGCCCGAATAGTTCCCCGCTAAATTGAGCAGTGAAAGCGTTGGCAACATTTAGCGGGAAATTTACGAAAATTTCTCGCTAAACGCGAAGGAAGCAGGAGTGAAAAAGGTAAGGGTACGGAAGGAAAGGAGGGGCATACTCTCCCCTCCTCCTCCTCAAGAGCTGCGCTCTTATTTATCATTACAGAGAATTGTAAACGTCTTCCTTTTATTATTTTTACTGAAAACGAGGTCCCAGCATCCATCAGCTGCCGTCCATCCTTCTTCCCACATCTTGCGGTTTTTCGGGTTCACAGCAGCAATCAAACCAACTTTCAGCGCTTAAAGCTACTCTTACCTTGTTTCTGATGGTTAACGACTGGCATCGCCATGAAAACCTCAAAGTGTGGTGTGAATGACCGCCACTTGCCACCTTTTTTTAGGCCAAAACTTTTCAGTTTGAACAGCCTGATTTTTCTTACGTTACACTTAGCCGCTCTATTTGCAACCCTGCCGGCTCTCATTTAATCTCCTTACTTAGTTTCACATAGAGCTCACCAGGCAGCTTCAGATACTTAAGTACGTGGTAGCTCGGTGCGCGCATTAATGGGTGTGGAGCATTTGTTCTTAAAAAAATTCTGTTCGAAACATTTTTCTTTTTGCCTCCAAGAAAGGCTTTGTTTTATTGCAGTTATAATCAGTGTCAGCGTAAGGACCGCAGGACGTACTTTTAGTCCCACTTATCTTATTACTGCACTGCAGCAAATGACGAGGCACGCCTGAAACCAAATGACGAGGCAAAAATCATAAACATAAAGAAGCCCCTTAATGCGTGGAATGTAAAGATATTTGACAAAGATCTGCATGGTTGCCTATAACAATAAAGTTGTAAAAGAAAAGAACGACAGCCCATGGGCTTGAGGTCCAAGCCATTGAAAGTAACGACTTGTGGATGCTCAGGTAGAACACAAGCCAGTGTCCACACTGGGCCGATCCATGCCACGGCCAAACGACCTGCTTCCAAAGAAAAGAGATCGAGGCGTGGTCTACCTATGCGCGGAGTGTCATGTCTCCGACATCGGCAAAACGAAGATCTTTCCTGAGCGACTTCGTGAACAAATGAACGACGTGCGAATATTTGATCGTGAGCGCAGTGCCGTTGCCGAATACTGCGATGACCTTGGCTATCGAATTAACTTTGCGAACACGGGCGTGCTTGACGTGGATCCACAAATCCGGAAAATGCTTTCACTGGAGTCATGGCGCATTTAGCATACACCGGGCAACATGAATACGTGTTTGCGTGCCTTGCCAACCGTGTACACCCAGGGCCTACATCACCTGGCAAGCAAAGCTGCCAAATAAACACATGCGGAAAAGAAGAGAAAAAAGTATATCGATGAGCAAACTGGATTAAAAAAAAGAAAAAAAAAATCAGCTGCGTCTTAGTGATTTTGGACGCCCTTGATGAAGAAATTGGACGCGTTTCTAAATGCTGGGTTGTACTTTTTGAGGGCCCTTTGGCTGGAATTCATTCCTTTTAACTTCACTCCAGGCGCCTCTTACGCTGTCTGTCACTACACTACTGCAATAATGAACAGCTTGGGAAACCCATGATGTGGCGTATTTCGAGCGTCCTTAAGACGCGCCGTATTGAATGCTATTGAGCCATTCGCCGAAAAGAACGCCGAAGAGCGCATCACAAAACAAGAGTATGAACATTACAAAAAGGGTTCCGTGTTTTCGGTATTTATGTTTCTTCGAATTCGGGGGTTATTGATCGGTATTTATTTGATTTTACTTTGAATCGGTGTTTACCGGTGTCGCATTTGAAATCCGGAGGGAAATCGGTATGTATCGGGCTTGTTTTGTAAAGTGACTGTGTATTTATTAATAAAAATATATTGTAATATATAATATTAGATGTTTAATATTCCCTCCAATAATGGTGGTAAAGATGATAGAAGGGAATGGGGCAAGGATTGAGGTTCCGATAAAAAGGAACATTCACAAGGAGAGTTCAAGGTGACCGTGTTCTGGACCAAAGGATAAAAAAGAAAAAAAAAGTAGTATAGAAAATTGCTTCCTGTAAAGCTAGAAAATTTTTTTCTTCGTTTTTTTTTTTTTTTTTTAATACACGACGGCTTTAATCTTTAGCTTCGTATTTTTCACTAATTCCGAGAAAAACGCATCAGAGGTTGATTCTCGGCGGCTACCCGTAAATACCGAAACATGAAACCTTAACTATAACCCCCCCCCCCCCCCCCCCCGTCTCCCCTTCGTTTCTTTAAGCTGTCCCAGACTATAGTGAAAGCATTACTCTCCTGCCTTTGTCTTATTATTTTTTTTTTGTTGAAACGTTTTCAACCGTCGCTTGTGTTTTAAGGCACTTGTCGCAGGCCCTGCGTATCTGCAGGCTTCTATATTTTGTCTATTTGTGCTATCCGTAAATGCGAAACCCTTTTAGAGTGCTAGCAATATAGACAAAAGAGTGCATTTAATCTCACCATTTGTAATATTTTTATTGATTCTTTAGGCCATGCCTCATCGCCGTTTTCACAATGCAGAGATGTTGTAGAGTTGAACTGTTAAACTTCGTAGTAGAAACGCTAACGGTTTCATATCACTCTCAACCACCAGAAAGTTGAGCAGTATCTAATGCATTTTGACAGCTCCTTAAAAGTTTGTGAGTTTGTCGATCGAAATAACAAGGAACGCCTTCAGAATCCTGCATTACAAATGATTGATCCTGAATGAAGTTTTATAATGCTTGTTCGGCTATGTTTAGATTTTTTTACTTATATAGTGTATTTTCGTAATAGGTTACCGCAGTTTAACTGCTATTATTACTGTACCACATCGGTTAATATATACATATATTCTTTTTCTCGTTTCAGCAACATCAAGTTACAACGAAACGGTATCATTTCCCCTCCGGTATTTGATGCGTTGGATCCCCTGGCTTGCACTTTTGCATTGGAATATTTCCTGACACATTCAGCAACATCGGTGGGTCAGTAAAGTACCGCCTTCCTGAAGGAAGCTACTGGAATACATAAAAACCGAGGCAGTTATGTGTAAATTTTTTTCGCTTTCCGTTTTTTATTTCTTTTTGCAGCTTATAGACTCTGGCCAGAAAACCGAAAAAATAAAGATTTCTCGAATAAACATTTGATCGAAGTATGTCACTTCTGTATTTATACGTGATCAATTTTGTGTACTTAAAATTATATAAATAAGACATAAAAACGCTTAAAACGGTGTAAGAATTTACTTCAAAAACATTGTCTTGCATTGCTATTCACGGCGCTGAGTCCAGTAGATTTCACTTTAACCAGCAAATTGCTGGGAGTTTGCGCGACTTGCTTTGACCCAAAGGGGAACTACTATAATGTACACTACCACGAAGCAACCCTTTTCGACGGTTAAATATGTTTCAGCATTCTTTCGGCTGAACAGGTTATTTACCGTTGCAAAAGAAGTTCGATTTCAACGAATTCGAGGCCACGTACAGTAAGCACGTCAACTATAGATCAAATGTGACTTTCTTCCAAAAAGTGTTGAATTTGAGAGCGCATTAAAAGTTTCTTGTCAGTTTCTCTTATCCCAAAACCGGTCAATATCACGTGAGACTCGCGTTGTATTGCAAAGCGCATAGGACCACCTCCATAGTTTGTTAAATTAACTGGCTGAAAAACTCTCGAAAAAAAAAAGGTTTCTTAAATGCTCAAATATTTTTTTTCTTTTTCAACGACTGTAACCATTTTGGTGTATTCGACTTGTTTCTGTCCTTGCGCTGTTTTATTTACTATGATATTGCGCCAACTACCCAACAACACACACACTGCTTTTGTTATGATTGGGCCGGTTCTCTATTTAACCGCATATGTCTGATAGAATAATTTTGCGGATAAAAATATATAGCAGAGCCTTCCATACAGGTCTCGTTTATTGACCTCTCGATCACATCGTGATCACACTGAGCTTTATTTTGTTCGAATTTAGTCGCGCACGCGTGGATTAATTAGAGTCCTCAATTTTACTTCACATATCTTTTTTATATCTAACATAAATCACGATACACTGGGGTCCAGCAAAAACAATAAGCCCAAGCGCCATAAAAGTATCACTAAGCTCAATTCCATACATTGCGAGGCTGTTTGGCGAAATCATCTTTCGTCTCTTACAATGAGAAATGCAAGAGTGTAGTTTTGCTAGAATTAAACCAACGTGGGATAAGCTTCGTTCGTCACCATTGGATGGGGGTTTTCATAGACCAAATGCAGACGACAAGTTTCTAGATTATTTTTAAAGAAAAATGAATTGATCTTTTTATTATACTTAATATTGTGATAAAAAATAATCGACATACTTTTTCTCCTATCTTATACCCCGTTAGTACCAGATGTAGAAGCCATTCAACATAATCGGAAGTCTGGCTGCACCCGAAGACTTCCCAAGTTCTGGAGGAAGTGTTTTCGTACTATCTCCAAGAGTAGATACTAGTTATGATTCCTATGTATTATTATTCATTAATCGGTACAGCTCGTGCCGGTACACGTTCTGATCACTTACCAGGAGCGCTATTTGTCCTTTTAGCAACATTATATTTAGACATGTAAATAACAACGGGTAAGTGGCAAGTTCCAAACCTAAATAACTTAAATACATGAATAAATAAATAAATAAATAAATATATATATATATATATATATATATATATATATATATTAATGCGGTCATGTGCGTGTGTGTACGGAATGCATCTGTCCCGCCCGATGAGATCATCTATTCCCTGACTACGGGAAAATAGAACTTTCAAGGGATCTGTGCAAACGTCTTTATTTTTTAACTTGTGTATGGAGAATACGACACATAAAAATGTGGCCAATATCGGTTCTTTCAAAAGATACAGATGGGTATAATGTGGGGAAATAATGTCAAAATTTTATTTCTAGAAATTTCATTATGCATGCGGAACTCGCATAAACGCCGAATCTTTTACAGCTATGTCAAAATAAACTACAAACAAATAAAAAAGTAAAATTTACAAAATGTGCCCACACTCACTCCTAATATTTCTTAAAACTTAGTGTACTCACCATGCCGTTGTATATTTTTGGTTCGGAAAGTTGGCCTTTGTGACATATGTGCTCTTCAAGAAAGGAATGCTTATATTCGTGAAACACAGACAGTCCACCTCAAATCTCCAGCACAATGTTTTTTTTGCTTTTTACATTGATGTTGCCACAGCCTTGATTGCAGTACCATCATATTTAGCATTTGTGTCCGCCTTGTTGGAAACATAAAAAGTGCACGTCCGCTCAGGACCGCATTGAAAAAGAAAGTGATGCTTACCTACAAGAATAAGATTAGCGACGCCAATAACGTAAGTTAACGTGTGCAAAGAGGTTTTGAAGTCTAAAACATTTGCCACAAATACAACTGAAATATGTATATAATGGCATATTTCACTAAGAGAAATGCAAGCTGTTAGTCATATTAGACAATACGAAACACCGCTCCGATGACAATGCCTGACAATCCACCAACTTGTGATAAACCTCAAACCTACTTTGTAACCGAACCTAGAGTTCTTTTTGGCTAACCACGAGGGAGTGGAACGTAATTCTCCGCACTAAATTTAGTCCCTTTACGGCGCTTGGAAACCATCGATCACCGGTGATCGATGGCCCAAGGGCGCAGTGAGGAGAGAGTTAAGTGCCCTATATTTTGCATCTATCAAAAATCATTAAAAATTGTAGACCATTTAATTAAGTCGCGTAACTTAGACTCCCCCTTCCACACATATCGCTGAAAATTTGTTTAGTCTATGAATAGCTTGTAAAGAAATTTCAAAATCAAAGGTAAACGAACTTGCGCTTACTCCTGTAGGTTGTTCATTCATTAAAATTAGTGAACAGTTAATAAAAATTATCATGAATTAAAATTGATTGCATGATTTTATTAGAAAACACCTTTTTGTAGATGTTGTTTGTAAATATTTGTATTCACCATAATGTCAAGTTTGAACGCAAGCGTACATCGTCTATGCACCAAGAATACCGAAGACGTGTAAAATCGATCACAATATTGTCAGGTTTCATAAAGTATAACATTTTATGAGGCACGGAGCCGTGAGATTAGAGCGTTATAGTTTTAATTATTATGTTCGGCGCAACAGATGCTGACCGACGCGAAAAAAAAATTATTGATATACAATAATATGGCACACACGCATGAATTCAATCGTCCCTTCTTTAGAAAAACAAATCCGCCCGGGAGTTACTTTAGGTGAAATAACTTTTGTCAATGGCTATAAATATAGAAACAAACCGTTCCAACATAGTCCTAAAATATCGTCGAGCAAACATTCCTACCCTTATGGAGAAGTTCGCATTATCCTATGCAGAAAGAAAATACACATCCCTGCTGCTCAATGAACAATAATATTTCATACCTAAATATGCAACCATGCAGACGCCCATTCCATACATGCAGAAAGTTGTCGCGAATGTTTGAAACAAACAGTGCGCCACATAAATAATGCTTCGCTAGACTCGCGATGATACGCCCTTGTATCCCATCAAAGCGAGCCTTCGTAAAGTGCTTAGCATGGGCGCGGAAGGAGTCGAAGCAAAGTAAACAAAAAGATAAAAGAAAAAAAAAATGAAAGTCGTTTACAACTCCCTGTAATGCCGAATTAGAGCGCAGCTCCTGAGGAGGAGGAGGAGGTAAGGGTACTGAGGGGGGGTCATGTGACCTCAGGGGGGGTCACGTGACCTCGGGGCCTCACGTGACCTGGGTGGTCCCGTGACCTCGGGGGGTCACGTGACCTGGCGGGCGTCACCGGGTTGCATGCAACACGGCGACTCCGGCGGGTTGCATGCAACTTGGGCTAAATGCAACCCGGTTGCATGAAACGCGCGCTTACGCCGACGGCGACGCCGCTTAAGCCGGAAACGGGCGCCTAAAAGCTGCGCTTTAAAACATCTATTTACTTGGTGACGTGATGGATGGCGTCGGAGCAGCGGAAAACGGCAGCCACCGTGGCGGGTTTGTAAAAGCCGCCCAACCCGCACGCAACAGAAGCGCCAACTCCGAGACTACGGTGAAGGCAAGGACTACTTGAGTAAGGTCGGTCAGTTTCTGAGTTCGGTGAGTTCGCTGAGGGGCGTGTGTTCATGTGTTCGTGAGTGAAAACTTGAAGTTGAATGCGGCCGTGAGGGTAAGGGTAAGTGAATTTTTTTTTAACTCTATATTTTGACCTACCTATAAGTGAGTGAGTTCAGCAAAAAATGGCGATATCTGGTTGTGAGAGAGTACAAGACGCGCTCGCGCCGAGGCTGACGCGAAGTAGGCGCAGCTGTGTGGATACATCTATACTCCGTTTACTTTTTAAAGGGCACAGCAAACGTAAGAAGAAACCTAATGGTGCTTGGAAGGGTCTCTGATTGTCGAACACGAGCTTACAGTGACGACATTGGTCTAGGGCGTTCGTTAACGACGACATAGATTCTAGAGATAGGACTGGCTGAAAAGATACACGTGACCCCTTCTGATTCTTTCAAGCGCGTGATTATCACTCAATATTTTGCTTTAACAACGGTAAATTGGTGGGGCATTCGTATATTCATATCTGGATGTTAATTCGAACAAATAGGAAGATCGTGCATGGTTTTTGCACCTGCTTGTAGTTCTGCCTCTCTGTTAGACTATACCAACGAAGTCATGAACAATGGAGAATATACTCAAAACTTCTTTTAGCTCTTATGTTCAAAATACATCAGATTTTTTTATTATATCTTAATATGTTGCAACAGTTCCACACTCTAGTTCGAGCGAACGCCATCCGAATTAAAAATTGGCCAGATTTTCTTTACAATGCTTTTTGTAAAACTAAGACTGCAGAAAATGCCAGGAGCGCGAGAGCTCAATATGACACTGCTATGGTTGGCTATAAGGGACTAAGAAAATTTTGTTGTTTTTATGTTTATACAGCTTAGAACTTGGTCTGCCTCAACGGGCGACGAGTCTCCCAGCTGTAGAGGAGAAATTCAGCCAGTGCAGTACAACCATTAGCCTGGGGACTTTAACGTGCATCACGCAGTAGTGGTGCAGAGACTTGGAAAGTAATCTGCTACAAGTAACGGATTACGTGTAATCAGTTACTTTTTATGTAATTTTG